CTAGAATAGCACCATCAAGTTGCATCACACTGTGGCAGCCATTTGTTCATTCCCATCTCATCACAGGATGATGCTTTTGTAGTCTCAGATGTTTACAAATACATGTTTTCTTTACAGTGCCACAAGAGATCATCCAATAAGAATAGAAAAGCAAACTCTCATAAAACTTGAACCATGAAATAATGGAATTGTAAAGAAAGAAATTCAAAGTGCCATTTGAATTTGACAAAATGTTCAGACAAAAAAACTACAACCTGAACCAATGTAATGTAGAGAAATGTCTGTGAAAAATAGTGGAACATTTTAATGTGCCTATGATGGGATAGAAATCTGACCCAACAGGACACTGTCTGAAACACTTTTTTCTGTCTGAGAAAAAGCAGGAATAAGAAGAGACCTTTACATCAATTTTTATGTAACCACACTTTGCATAGCAAAGGGTCAGGAACTAGAAGGAATGACTCAAATAACTTGGCATCTCCTTTGATGCAGTGATCCATTTTTTTCCCCTTTATTTTTTACTATTTTTTCCTATTTATCTATTTCTGTGAAGTGATGACTATTCAAAGGTGTTTACAGATTTTAAAAATGCTTGAAAAATATTTTAAAAATTTTAAGATTCAGGGCCTTGATTTTTAACCTGATCTAGACTGTATGTTTTCTGCTTTTCAGCTGCACCTTGACTTCCATCAGGGAAGACTTTATTGAAGAAGTCACAGTGCTATGTGGATTTAGCTTCTCTTGTCAGCAACAGGATACTTGTGTTGATACACTCAACATGTCCTTAAGCCTTTTCCACATTTGTCTTTGCCTCATCTTTTTGTAAGATTCTCTGTAATGAAACAATTTTTTGTAACTTTCCCTAGGAACTAATTTTTTTTTTTTATTAGGGAGCATGGTAGTGTTTGGTACATTTGATTTCCTTTGTCGGCCAGCTGAAATTGCTGGACAATTAAAATTTATTGATTGATGGGGTTATAAAATGATGAATACAAGGATAAAACCTGCAAGACAGTAGGTGAGTTAGAGAAATAAAATTCAGAAAAAGTGACTTTGTTTTTAATTGCAACATAAATTTGAGAAACAGGGTTATGAGATTTCATTTCTACAAATGCTTACGGTAGTGAGTTTGAAGAGGTAAAAGTTCTCTATATTGACCCCTTCTGAGCTGATATGGCCCATTGTGTAAAGCTGTATTTAAGTAATCTAAGGGTAGTAAAGGCTCAGTGGGGAGGACCAACTATAGTACAAAGCAGGGAAATGGACAGTTCCAATGTGCACCACTGACAACACAATTTGCTTACATCATAAGCTATCAGATGGAGAAAAATCTGTTAAAATACTGAAATGACATAGAAGAGTAGAGAAAAAAAAAGAAGAGGAGGAAATCATCCTTGATTTTCCAGTGAGACAGTATACCAATGAAAGGATCAGTGTACTGTCAGTCACATTCCCACAACATTTTACACAGGAAAAGCAAGACTTTTTCTCAGACATCTATTGACTAGATTTTCCCTGATTTAACTATGCAAACATATTTTTTAAAATTGTGATGATTGCAGTAAAATTAATAACCAGACCTCAAATGGAAAGAGAAAAAGATTTCTGGAAACTTGTTTTCTTTCAGGAAGTGTTTAACATTATAGCTTCAAAAATCTAAAGATGTGACTAACAAAAAAAGAGACAAAATTAAAAATACAAAGGATTAAAGTTTTTTTTTAAATTTTATTTTTATTTGCTTTCTGATTCTTAAAGGACACAATCTTTTAAAGACCTTTTTCTACCTCTGAAAATCACAGAGTTCCTTAGACAGAAATGAACATTACCTTATAAAGTATTAGGAGCCTTTTTTCCCCGGAAGAAAACAGCCTCTAAATGAAATTCAAGAAATCTCAAGTAACTTAAGAGAAGTATTAAAAATACACAATTTCAAAAGAAAAAGAAAAAAAATTGATGAAGAAAAATGAAAGAGAAACAAAGTTGTAGTAACAGTTCCAACTCTGTGAAACTCAGAATATACTCTGTTAATCACTGGAGCAATCAAAAACTTGATCAACTCCTGAACTCCCAGATATGCTCACTTCTCACTTCATTTTGTAAGTACACTACTGTAAACAGCCCTAGATTAACTTGGACCTATCAGTCTATTGCACATGCATAACAGCCCGAAGGAAAGACATGGTATTATCAGACACTGAAAACCTCCAGACCTAAAACACACAATCTCCCCCAGGTAATTTCAGAAAGCACAGTACAGTTAGCTAGTTTACCTAGCATATTCTGCTTTTGTTGTGAACAGCAAATGTAAAGCTTTCATGGTATGAACTCACCAAATTTTGGAAAACTTTCAGTTTTTTAATACTAATGGAAATATCCTGAGTTTGCCATGTGTATTTATATTATATTTAAATTTATGTTGTGCAGAAACTTTAAAAGATAAATACTATTTGTTGAAAACAGAATATATGGACTGGCATGAACTCGGGGCAATCATTTTATAACCATGTCATAAGAGGCCAAAACCAGAACTGAAATATCCTGACAGACTTCTCATATATTAGCAATATTGTTGTTAAATCAAAGTAAAAACCAAACCAAATGAAAACAGAAAACGCAAAACAGAAAATAAATTTTCCCTGAAAAAGTTTCTACAAAAAATAAACCTGCAAAAAATATTGCCTTATTTTTACTGTTTGACGAATTGCTATAAGCATCCATGTACTGAAAAGAGTCTCTTACAAGGAAATTTGGGTTATTCATTAGATGACCAAGGTTACCCTTGTACACCCTCACTCAAAGACCACTGGGCCTTGATAAGATACCAACTGCCCTGTGCCATAGTGCCACCATGCAAAATTTGAGGGGAAAATAGTATGATCTTGATTTGGCAGTTAATTTTCCCACTGCTTCTTGGAGTTTTTTTTTTTTTTTAAGTTTATTGGCGACTAAAGCAATATAAGACTTATGAGAAAGGATTTCTCCCAGGAGTTGTTTGTAGAGCTCCTAATTTTTGGCCCATTTTTTCAGCCAGAAGGATATCATAGAAAGCTGGAAACAGTTCATCCTTTGATGTAAATGGTGAAAAGTTTTAAACCTTATTGAGACAATAAATGTAATAACAGTTTAAGTGTACTTAGTTTTTACAGTACAGATCACAAAACAGTACTACAATTGAGGGACAGATAAGAGAAAAATAATATTTTCTGAAAGGCGAAATAGGAATTGCATGTGCATTTTGCTTCTTGTGTTCCACATACTACACAATTTGAAAGCTTTGACTTCTATCACTGTTGACTTCTATTTAACAGCTAGCCTTTCAATTAAATGTTACAAACAATTTCTTTTAAAAATGGATAAAAATCTGAGTCTTAAGGAGATAAATATTAGTGAAGCATAAACAATCCTTAAGCAACAGGATCTTAAATAACAATCCTGAACCAACTTCCCATTCATATGACCTAAATAAAGCTACCATGAGAAATACAGACATATGAGAAGTACATTTTACAAGGCTGGATATTTCTATAGGAAAATAAAGTAAAACTAGAAACACATATATACATATATAATCCTATATATATTGTTATTTTAAACACTTTTCTTCTCCCTACATATCAGCATGAAAATTCCTCAATTATGATGGAGATGATGAGTTGTAACCTTGTGTTTATGAAATTGTTATGTATATTTCAGTCACTTATCTGCTTTTTTTCCCTGTTATTTTTAATTTTTTTTTTTAGTTTTTCAGCATTAAAATCTGCAATCTGCTAAACATCTATTAGTTAAATTACTAATTTTGATGTCAGAGAATAATTCAGTTGCTACAATATGTGGTCAATATATATTTTTCCTCATGGTTAAAAAAATAATTCTGTTGCAAATACTTTTCTTCTGAAAACAGGGAGAATATGATGCAGCTGTGAAATAGATACAAATATAGCTGACCTGTATCTATCTGAGTGTACTCCTAAACCTAGAAGTCTGGAGAAATGGATGTGAAGACAGTTTTCCATACGTCTGTTTGGGCTGTCTTTTACTCATGGAAGTAATGTCGTGGAGGTCATCTCTGGAGGTGTAGAGCCCAGATCACAAGGTACATTGACACCTCAACACTGCTCTAATGTTTCCTGAGCCAAACTGTGTATTTGTATGGTACAACTCTCATGGGCATAAGCTTAGAATTTATTCAGTAGTATCTACTGCTGCCCTAGACATACTTCAGGGCAGTTTTGACTAGATTTGGTAAATAATATATCACTTATTCTTTACCAATAAGCTGGTAGAGTCTTAGCTTAAAACATTGTCTTGATTCTTAGATTTAGTCTGTACCATAATGCCATGATCCAGCATAGTTTTCAAGATTTTGACTTGAAAAGATAAAAGCAACATACAGAAAAAAAGATACAGAACTGTTCATGATCTTCCCCCTCCCTTGTAAAACATCCATCAAAATCAGATACGACAGACTGACTTTTGGTAATGTTACCACATTGCCTTATCTTAGGTAGATTGGTTTCTGCAGGTTGTTCTAAGAAATGAGATGGATTGTTTAAACAGGAGTCTTAGAGATGAAAGAGAATTCTCAGTATCTAATAATAAAACAAATATTATGGTAAAATAAACAGGCAATCAGCCTTAAAAGTCTTGCACCTAGCAACCTTTTAATAAAATAAGTTACATAGATGCCACTAAACTCTGTTAGCTGAATTATTTACATTTTTTCATTGCTCTCATGGTGGTTATATGCTGTTGGGTGTAGAGATTCTTCTTGATATCACAATGTAAGGAAAAAACTCTGCCTCCTTTTGTCAATTTTTTTTTTCTAAATAAAGCAATTTACTTTACAAAATAAAGAGCCACTCAGAACTAAAATTATGAAAGTAATTTTCATTTGTGATTGTGAAATAGATTTTTCTGGACAGAGGGAGCGTTGAGATAGGACTTGCAATTGAAAAAATCTGAAAACTGTCAATTAAAAAAACCTATTTCAATGGACTTACCTGTTTAACTCTTTTAAAAGTCCAACACTTCGTCTTTACCCCACAAATTTTTTAGCCACTGGGTGAAGTCAAAATACAGCACTTGATCACAATAATCCCAGCATCTCATGGACAACAGCATCTCTCATGGCAGCACACTCAGGATGCTTGAAACAGACCTGGAAAATGCAGATATTCTTACATTTTTATAGAAATATACTCATCTACGCCTAACTGTAAGGAAATATGAGCACTTAGTCAATGACTACATTACAAAGGAGTATAAAATCATCAATATCACTTGGTGAACAAGATGGTGACTGAGAAGCTCATGTTCCAGAAAACATATTTTAGCTGAGTATATGCAATTCTGTTGCACTTATTGACCCATTAAAACTGTCAGGAATAAGAAATGGTATTCATCTTTTTTTTAAAAATTGCAGATTTTCAGACATAGACTTGTAAGTCCTTTCTCATTTGAATTTCAAAATTAGTATCTCCTTCTGAACTAAACAGGTTCTTATCTGAGAAAGGTCATGGAAAACTTTCAGTACAATTATAGTTAGTTGTTCCATGAGAGCTTGGCTGAGTACCATTTTGTTTAGTATCTTTAATTGAAAATTGTAACATCCAACTGGATGATGCAATGCGAACTCATAGCAATAGTAGGCTTTTCTCTTTACTAAGGAAAGCAATGGTATAGTGAATGATGGTTGTAATATTTATGTAGAACTCTTCTTCTGTACAGTTGCAACATTTTTTGAAAAAATTTGCTACCATTTAAAAGTGCTTTTCAGTAATTCACTGAATCACAGAACAATTTCTGCTCAAGGAACTAATGAGGAATTCCCCTGGAAAAGTGCTTTTCTAGTTGCTGGAGTCAGTCAATACTGGACATCTTTTAAGCACCACCTCCAAAGGACACAGTAACATGAAATTCCGGTGTCAGAAGTCAAGTAAGCAGAACAAAAGGCCAGCCTGCCTGACAAGGATGTTCTTTTGGAGATAAGGAAAAAAAGGAAGGTGTAAGTGGGAGCAACATCAGGTGGTGTGGGGGAAATACAGAAATGCTGCTTACCACTCTACGGAGAAAATTCATTCAAAAATAGTCTGTCTGCAAAGTCTTCAAAGCCTGTCTTCATGATTTTTTGAATGGTCTTGGGAATCTGAAGAGGTCTCAGCTGATAGGAAGCTGAGGAAGATTGTTCTAATCTTTAAAAAGGGCGTGAAGAATGAGACTGGAAAATACAGGCTTGTCAATCTTACTTCACTGCCTGATAAGGTTATAGAGAAGAATATTGTGGGAGATACTGAAAAACTGAATGACACCTGAATGTCAACACAGTCACCAGCATGGCTTCTTGAGGGGAAAGTCCTGCTTGTCAAACCTTTTTTCTTTTTGTGACAAGGTAAACCACCTAGCTGATCAAGAGAAGCCAGCTGATATAATCATTTTGCATTTCAGTAAAGCTTTTTATACTGTGTCTCACAAAAACCTTCTAGATAACAAAGCCAGCACATAGCTGGATAAACACATCATGAGATAGGTGAACAATCACCAGTCTATGTGTCTTGCTCACAGGTCAGGCACAAAGGATTACAGTGAATAGGGTGACATCAGACTGAGGAACTGTCACAGGTTGCCTTCCACAGGGCTCCATCCTCAGTCCTGTGCTCTTCAATACCATTAGCTGCATGGACACAGGACTAGAAGGGATTCTAAGAAAGTTTGCAGCTGATACAAAACTGGGAGAGGCTGTTGCAGGGAGACCCTTCAGGGAGATCCTGCAGAGAGACCTGGACAGATAAGACATCTGGGCAATCATCAACAATATGAAGTTCAACAAGGGCAAGTGCCAGATCCTGCATATGGGACAGGGCAATCATGGGTTTATGTACACACTAGGGAATGTGATACTGGAAAGTAGTGCCACAGCAAGGGACATGGGAGTCCTGGTCAGTAGCAAATTGGACATGAGTCAGCAGCGCCCTAGCAGCCAGGAGAGCCACCTGTGTCCTGGGGGACATCAGACACAGAATCACCAGCAGAACTCTGCTCTGCACCAGGATGGCCTCACCTCGAGTGCTGGGAGCAGTTTTGGGTGCCACAGTATAAGAAAGATGTAAAGCTGTTACAGTGTCCAAAAGAGGTCAACAAACATGATGAAGGGCCTTGAGATGAAGCCATAGGAAGAGCGGCTGAGGTCCCTTGGCCTGTTCAGCCTGGAGGAGACTGAGGGTAGAACTCATTACAGTTACAACTTCCTTGTGAGGGGAAGAAGAGCAGAAAACACTGATCTCTTCTGTGTGGTGAGCACTGACAGGACACAAGAGAATGGCCTGAAGTTGTGTCAGGAGAGGTTTAGGCTGGATATCAGGAAGGCCTTCTTCACTCAGAGGGTATTTGGGCACTGGAAGAGAGACCTCAGAGAAGCTGGTCTGCCAGAGGTCAAAAGCTTCTGGACAATGCTCTCAGGCACGTGTTGTGACTTTGGGTATGTCCTGTGCAGGGCCAGGAGTTGGACTTCGACAATCCTTTTAGGTCCCTTCCCACCTTAGCATATTCTGTTATTTTTTGATTTATGTTGGAAAGGACCTCTAAGACCATAGAGTCCAAACTCTGACTGATCATACAACTAAGTGCCACGTCCAGTCATTTCTAGAATGCCTCCAGGGGTGGTGTCTCCACCACTGCCCCAGGAAGTCAGTTCCAATGCTTACCAACCCCTTCCATGACATCCAACCTGAACCTTACCAGGAGGTATTCAAGGCCATGTTCTCTTGTCTTGTCACTAGTTTTCTGGGATAAGAGGCCAAGTCCTTTCTTTCCACTATCTCCTTTCATGTACTTGCAGAGAATTAGGAGGTCTCTCCTGAGCTTTCATTTTTCCAGAGTAAACAACCCCTACTATCTCAGATGCTTTTCATATGACTTAGAATTCAAGTGGACATTTCTGCTACATTCTAGCTGGTTTTTTTTTTTCAGAGTTTAAACTACAGTGCACCTACCTCTTTCACTAAAAAAGATGAATAATTTAGATGAGTTTACTTAAAAAGCTGTTTTACCATCTGTTCTCTGTCACTGAAATGTTTAGACCAATGAACAGATATCATGGAGAATACCAAATGGCACTGAGATAAGGTGAGTTCATCCAGGTGATACACTGATCTATGCTTTCCTTAAGAGACTCAAATTGTTATTTCGGTCTTTGTTGAAATTTAAAGAGCACTGCTCCTAAACATCTCAAAAATTCTGTATGCTCCCCTTCCACAAGTGTTGCATATGGCTTTTAATAGAGAGCAGGAAAACATGTGCGCAGAGGTGTTAGTTCCATGCATATGTATGTAAGATAAAAAGAAAACATTCTATCCACATTGAGAAACATCTGAAAGAAAATTACAGTAAAATTAGTTTTGCAAATATTTCAAAAGTTAACATATAGTATGGCTTCTAAACAAACTAAAGCCTTCAGCCTGCATTTTAGCTGGCAACAACTGAAGTAAAATGAGTGAATCAAAAGAGAAACTGTTCAGCCTTCATCAGTCATTAGCATATTTTCTAAAAGTTGCACAAACAGAAAGTGTTTCTAAAAAAGGAACAACATTGCACTTTGCCAGTTCGGAAGTGAGAGTTCAGCGCATCTGAAGCATGATGCATTACCATGAAAAACAAAGTTTCCAAGCATAAAAAATTTATCATCCATGACTTCAAATGAAAGAGCAACTCTATCCATGGTTTTAGGAATGTCCTGGACTAAATGACCAGGAATTACAGTATTTTATCATCCAGTAGGTGAGATGAATGCAGGAAAAGTTAAAGATTACTGGAACATTGAAAATCAACTGAATATGTTGCATTGAGGTGCTGATGGCTTTTTCCCATCTAATCCAGTGCATAGAGATCAGTCATTGATTGATGCCTGGGTCTTCATGATCCAACACAGAATGGAATTTTACTGAAATTGAGGAAGGAACACACTAATATGTGTGTTCATAATAAATCTACTATGGAACTCAAAATACATGGTAAAGGATTCTTTATCTTTATTTGTAATTTCCATCATTACACCTCCTGTGTAGCAGCAAGAATTTTTTATCCAGAAGAATAATATCATAGACACCTAAAGCAGTATAAACAAAAAGTAAAGATTTTATGAGCATCTTCCAGAAATGCACTGGAAAATTTTATTAAATTGTTATAAAATTCTCAGAATATGTCGGACTGTGTATGTTCAAAGTTAAATACTCCAGATAGTTATCTAAAATTGTGTGATATTTTTGCATCTTACAGTGAAAGAAATTAACTAAGATTTCCGATTTGGATGCAGCCAGACTATATGATCAACTTTGATCTTTAATGTAGGTGACAAAGATAGAAGATAATATAATTGAGGGATAAAGATTGAAATCTCCAGAAACTAGTATTTGATAATGGTGTACACAAGGGGCATTTTTGAGTCAGAAAAAAGGAAACTGGACTGAAATGGTCAAAATGAGAACTGATGCCTGACCTTAACCATTTACTTCTTTAAAGTGATAGCATGGAGAATAGAAATTTTCAGTTCCCTTGAAGTTGCAAGGTAAAGCTTAAAACTAAAAATCAGTTAGATAAAAGAATGTGAAAGTAGATGCACAGGTTGGCAAATGTGGCTGGAATCAGTGAATAAACAGACAGTGAGGAACCTTAGTGATTTTTGTGATAAACTTCTGTAACAAGAAAGAACAGTGAATGACCTAAGAAAAGTTTAAGGCAGGGCCACTTAAATTTTGGGGGCTCTCAGTGAATACAACCACCAGAAACTCCTTCACATAACCCTCTAAGAGCACAAAAGGAGTTTCAGTGAATGGGATGAGGCATATAAGTTAGTGCTAGGAAAAGTGATGTTTATCTATTAGCTAGGACATATGTTGCAATGAGTGTGTATGATCCTGATGGAATAAATACCCTCTTGTAAAGTTTCATGACACACATTTGAGTAGAGGGAATCCTCCAAATGCATCCAGCACTGTAATAAGGAACACCTGCTTTTTAATACCTCAAATTGTATTAGAAAATCTATTCTCCAGCCAATTTTGGCGGCAGAAGAAAAAAAAACTGCTTAAAATTAGAACAATCTAGAGTACAAAAAGTATATAGGAATGGTGGTTATCTCAGTGAGGGTAGGGTCTCTAAATACCAATAGATGAAGTAGCAGGCAAAATTCCCACTAGTATGCTAACCCAAACCCACACACTTGTGCTAACAAATGGATATCACCTGTTAGTTCAGGACACCACAAAGGAAAATTCCTTCTTCAGAAAGCTCCAAAGACATCCTTCACTGGATTGGAAGGTGAAACAAGGGAGAGATAGACAAATAATATAGACTGTGTGCAAGACAAGCATTGGCTGAGAGGTATCAAGAAATTTCAAGGCTAAAAAGTCAAATATGTGGCCACAGATGGCTTTGCAAGATCTTGTATAAATAATTAAGCTCTGAAGACAGAATGGGGGAAAAAAAGTGAAGGAAAAGGTATGTTTGATCCCCTGTTTTTCTGGTTTTGGCTGGGATGGGGCTAGTTTCCTCCCTAGTTAAGTAGTTTGGGATTTTGTTTGCATTTGTTCTGGAAACAGTATTGATAACAAAGGCATATTTTTGCTACTGCCGGGCAATGCTGTGATGGACACATATGTGCTCCTCACATATGCCACCAGTGAGGAGGTTGAGGGGTGCACAGAAAGTTGGCAGATGACACAGCTCAGACAGCTGATCCCAAATGACCCAAGGGATATCCCATACCACACGGCATCAGGCTCAGCATATAAAGTTGGACGGAAAAGAGGAAAGGGAGGGGAGATTTGGAGAAATGGCATTTGTGTGCCCAATTCTATATTAGGCATAGTGGAGCCCTGCTTTCGTGAAGATGGCTGAACAGCTGCCTGTGGATGGGAAGTAGTGAGTGATTTCCTTGTTTTTCTTTGCTTTACCTATTGAACTGTCTTTATCTTAATCCACAAAAGTGTACTCACTTTTAACCTTCAGGAAGGAGTGGAGGAGTGGCTATCTGGGGCTTAGTTGTCATCCAGGGTTAAACTATGACACCTGACAGTTATGTTTCATAGGTCAGATCCACCATAAAAATCAACAGAGCAAGAAGATACCAACATAAATAAATGAGGAGCTGACGTCTGTAGAGAAATACTGAGGAAGAAATATTGAGCAATAAAGAGAAGTAATGTCATCAGGATTTAGGAGGATTTGTATTAATTAATTAAGAATCAACACAAAGTGGGGAAGCAGGGAAACAAAAGAGCAAACTATCTGTGACTGCACCTGTGTGTATAGTGTCTGATATTTCTAGAAAAAACAACTCACCTAGCATAGGGCTCAAATTTTGTGTTCATATCCCAGGTGCTGAAAATAATTTATACCTTGACTATTCAATAAGTTTTAATTTTTCAGAAAAGGAAAGTGTGAACTCTAATAACATTCCCTGCTTGCCAGGAATTTTTCTCTCAGAATCCATGGCAAAGATTTAGATCAGGAGAGCTCATAAATGACATTTAGACCACTGTGAACAGCAAAAGAAAATAAATTATTATTTAGGAATTACTTTTCTTGTCATCTTCTGAAGAGTTCTTTCAGCAGACCTACTTGTGTTTACTGTCACATATTTTTCTTACTTTTTTGGTGAAAAGATGATTGACTTTCAAGGATCACCTCTGCAAGGCTCAGGGGTGTTCCACTACCACATAAAGAAGTTAAGAAGAGTTCATCTTTAATAATTTGATGATACACCAGAAGGAGTGGTTGATGTATCTAAAAGACAACAGGACATTGTTGTCTTTTAGAGGGCATTTAGAGGTTGGAATAATGCGTGAACAGGAACTTCATGAAGTTCAGTAAAGGGAAATGCAAACCCGTGTATCTGGGGAAGAAGGATAAATGCATGGTGGGGGTTGACTGGCTGGAAACCAGATCTGCAGAGAGGAACCTGGAGTTCCTGGGAGACAAGCTGACCATATTGCAGCATGTTACCCTTGTAGCAAAGAGGGTCTGCATTAGAGGGTCTGTTGCTTGCAGATTGAGGCATCTGGTCCTTCCCCTCTGCTTACACCTGGTGAAACAGGCTGAGGGGACTGTGTACAGCTCTGCCCTCTCCAAAACAAATGACATGAACACACTAGAGCAACTTCAGCACAGGGCCATAAAGATAGTGGACCGAAGCTTGTCTTACATGAGTAGTGGCTGACAGTGGCTGGGACTCTCCATCATGTAGAGAAAGGGCTTGGGGGAATCTTATCAATGTGTATAAATACATATCTGGAGCAACTGAAGAAGATGAAGTTAAACTCTTTGCACTAGTGCCAAGTAGCAAGACAAGAGACAACCGCAAACTGAAATTAAATTCTATCTAAATATTAATTAGAGAATTTTGGCTGTGATGTTGTTTAAACACTGGAGTAGGTTCCCCAGGAGATTGTGAGGTGTCATCCTTGGAGATACTCAAAATCTGACTGTACATTGACCAAAGTTATCTACTCTAGATGATTCTGCTTTGAGCAAGGGCTCTGAACTAGGCTATCTCCAGAGATGCCTACCACTCTCACCCATTCTGTGACTCCATGAAGTCCTATAAAATGGTTGAAAGAATGAAAAAAATCAACAGCTTCTGTTTACTTCACAGTACTTTGAGATGCATCAGTGTAAAGTCTGTTATAATAACATATTCTTTTACAACAGCAAAAAAAAGAGAAAGTTTGTTTCGTCTTTGCTAAGACAGTGGGTTTCATGCAAGAATATTAACTGTGACTTTTGAAGTCATGGGTATTCAACAAAACTGGAATTTAAATAAAGAATCTGGGCAAGAAGGACATGACACTATATCTAAACCCCCAGAACCCTATTTAAATAGACAGGATTAATATTAACATTAATTTCATCCTCTCCGTGTTCATTTTTACCATAACTGCATCCCAATTATTGAAAGTGAACTGAGGTAATACTGGAGAGACTGTAAGGGTAAAGTCTGGAGAATACTTTAAAAAGCATATTCCCACAGAACAAAAACCTAATAGTGTACTACTTAGTAGGGGCTAGCAAAATCAAACAAGCAAGGCATGCAAAATAAGCCTATACATTCTGTTGCACTTTCACCATTGTGGAAACAAAATAAATGGCTACATTTTGCATTTTCTTTGTTCAGGGATGTTTTATTGAAGCATAATCCAATTTCCGTATATGAGAAACTTCATGATATTACTGGTGACAGCACTCTGCTATTTCTTTACACCTTGGGAGCTTAGACTCTGCGATGGCCTGAAATTCCACTCAGGTTTGAGCATTACACTGCTAAATGCAGTATTAGCATTTTGCTAGACTTGCTTATCAATTTCATGACTATGCCTAGGTCTCGAAGAAGAAAGAAATGGGAGACGTGGATAACTGCTCTTTGGCTTGCTCTGTATAAACTCTGGGGAGATATTAATCTCTCACTCTATTTTTTTATCATAATTTTTTAATAGTGCTAATGGAAAAAGAGGGCACCATAACAGGAGTTTCATGCTGCATCTTACAATATAAATGGTATGGATCTTTAACTGACCCAAGGGTTTAACGTTTAAATCAAGAGTGCAGACAAAGAGGGGAGAAAAAGAGCTGGCCAAGAGAAGAACATGGATACAATATAAGATAAGTTCTGATGACTAGTGTTAAATGGTCATTCTGAATTTTGAGACCTTTCAGTGGATTTGTGACAGAGTGATTTCAGAGGCAGCACAGCAATGAAACAAGAAGAAAGTTGAAATGTGCTTAGAACATAGAGTAGGAACTTTCAGAATAGAAAGTATTGTGATGGTGCTATCACAATCTCTTCTTAGAGGTTTGGAGGTTTTTTTGGAGCTATTGTGTACGGAGAAACAAAAGCCAATATAAAAAAGACCTCAACCATAATTCAGCAACATCCTGGATCCCAGCAAAAGGACCAGTTTATTTTCAAGGGCATTCAAAGGATATTAAAAATCTTCATTGTTCTATAACACTAGTGTAATCAGCCTGGAGCAGAAAAAAGGGGAGGGATGAAGAAGGAAGGAAGGAAGGAAGGAAGGAAGGAAGGAAATTGAACCACTGTGTTGTTTTAAGCCCACCTGGCATCTAAACTCCACATAGCCTCATTTAAATTGTTAACTAATTTCTGAGAGTGTAAATTCTTCTCCCCTTCCTGGAATATCCCATCCTTGAACTTCTTTTTTTTTTTTATTTTTTATTTTTTTTTTTATATTTTCCTATCCACAATGACGCATCTAGCACCTTACTTTATAAAAAAATGAAAATATGAGGTTCTCAAATAATGAGTTACAGGAACATGACCTTTGATATACAATGGATCAAAATAAAGGCTCAGTAAAGAAAAGTTTAATATAATCATGCAGAGATTCCATTTTTCTTTCTTTTCCAGATTTCATTATTTACAAATGTAAACCACAAAACAGAACAAAACTTTCCAATGCATAACTTTTTAAAGCTATTTCATCCATTTAAGAATGATGACATATATGACCTGTGAACCACTTGTCAGGTAAAATAACACAGTACATATACATCCCACTTTTTTCGATATAGAGGAAAAAAAAATTCTTAACATTTGCAAACATAAGGCCAAAAACAATTTCATTTTTAACTGTCTTGCAACAACATATACACAATCAGCAATAGAAGGCATATTCAAATAGAGTTGTTTTACTATAGAAATCACAAATAACATACCTTAAGTCTTAGAGAGTTCAAGTCCTGGAGACAATTACAGCACCTTTGAAAATAAAATTAATCTGTTAAAACTATGGCAACTAATTTAGTTTAGGATAAAAATCCCTGTCCTCTGAAAGCTTTTATTAAGCACAGTTTTCAAGCTCCCTTAGTACCTAGCAGCACGCTCCTGTCTGATTTCCAGCTATCTTCAAGAGATGAGTGAAATTTGTTCAGTCCCTCAGTTCATTTTTTGAGCTTCCCAAGAAGGTTTATTGCACTATTCAGTCTTCCTCAGCACAGCCTCCCTTCCTGGATTTCCATTAATTTTGTATTATGAAGCCTAGCAAGAAACTTTTCTAAAGCAACTATTTTCTAAAGCAACTATTTTATCAACAATATTTTGTAGTCCCTCTGCAGCACTGTTTACTGCAGCAGCAGTTAACCAACAAACTGTTCGAGAATAAATACTAATCTCACAGATGACAGAAAGAAAATACCTAGTACCAACTTCTCAGTCAGCTATTTTGGAGTGAAGGAGAATGTAATGACTGGACTTTTGGTTTACCAGTGTCAGCACATTGGACAAAGCATTACAGGCAGAGCACTGGGAACAGTTTATTTTGCCAAGGAGCACCTTGATAAGCCTTTTCCTATTCTAACTTTTGTTTTGCACATGTTAGCTGAATGTCATCACACACTCTCTTACTCTTTGTGGCATAATCATTGGGACATAACTTTTGCTTATCTATTTGTGCAGTGATTTCAGAAAAGTAATAAAAAATATTTTATTTAAGAATCTTACCATTGGAGTTCAAGATATCAAATCCCCATTGGCAAGCAGACAATGCCAGCATATTTTTTTTCTCAGAAAAGAATACTCCTCTGGTAGTGTGTCCTTGCCATCCCTTGTTCTACCCTAAATATATATTTATAAATGTATACTTTTACTACTTTTACTACTACTAAATCTACACAGACTTGTATATGTATGTATATAGCATTGGTATATATATATTTAAATACTACCTGAAAATATTTGTTTATTTCTCATCCCTTTGAAAATGTCTTAAATAAAAAAAAATCAGACTTGTCACATCTAATTTTCTGCAAGTGTGAATTTACCTGCCACCCTTGAAACATGATAAAGATATAGTCCAAGTACTCTACTGCTACTCTATTACAGAACTTGCCTTATTATGATATAGATTGTAGAAACACTCTATTCACCCTAATTTCACAGGTTTATATGTTTTATAGCAAAATACTCAGTTATAAGGGGATAATCCAAGACATTTCCTTTATGTTCATGTCATTAAATGGTCTCTGTAAAAGCCATCCCAGTGGTGTAAGAATCAGAGTTACCTTGTCTCTACAACAGTTGTTTTCTTGGCTAGCACAAGGAAAAGTATATTTCCTTGTATATATACCTTTAACAATTTGTCTTGTGTCTTACTAGGGATAAGTTCTGATTTTTTGATGTGCTAAAATTATAGTTTCTCGTTAATTATATATTTGTGTGTACAGATAAACATGCCAGCAACTTATTTAATTTTAAAGATACTAAAACTTCTGACAAACACTTTCAATTGCAATAAGTTGCATACAAAAAAGTAAATTTAGATAAGTATTGTTGCAGAAAAATATAATTTAAAAAAAAAGAAAAATGAAACAACAACCACCCAAAGTTAAAATTTGCTTATTTGAATCAATCGTCTTGAAAATGAACCAGAAACAAATGCATGATATTCCAGGAAGCAGAACTTCCTTCTAACTGGAATGACTTAGATAAACACACTGACAGTTTTTGCAACAAGATGAAAAAATTCTCTCTGGCTATGAAAAAAAGCATTTGAAGAATATAATTTTTTAGCTGTAATTCATACTTAATAGAATACATGCCCTTATCATCTCATAAACATAAGTATTATTAAATTTATTCTTGCAAAGCTTTCTTTCTCTTTCTTTCTGCTGTACATATGTCAGTCTTCTGATTTTAAGTGAGTATTTCCAAACAGATCTTTTGTTAACCTTTTTTTCAAAAAATACCACAACTCTTATTTCATTATACTATCTACAAAATGCTCTTCAATCATTCAGATTGAAATGGTGGTTTAGACTTCAGCTGGTGTAACAGCTAATGTTAAAAAAATCTTCAATTTGGTTTGTACTTAGCCAAATTCAATAGAGAAAAATATTACCAGTGAACTCACAGGTCCTGATCCTCCAATTACTGTATTTTTGTCTATATATTTCTTGGATTGTTGACACAATGACTTTGAAGCCAAGGCTATCAGCCATTAATCACTGATGAGAAAGTAGATGACATCCTTCAGTGATGACTACATTACATTTCACTTAGGAACAGTACTTGTTGAAATATACATATATTCTGAAACAGTGATTAAAAAACCCCCACAATTTTCATGTGCTTAGAACAATCTCACAAGAGACCAACATACTTCATGTACCTAGTCAATTTATTTCATTTCAAGAACTAATTAATTCACTTTCTGGCACAGTTTGTTCAAATGTAAAAATAGAAATCCTGATTTGTAAAACAAAAAGACAGATACATATATCAACCCATCAGGGGGTGGGATTAGTTTACTCCAAGGAGCACTGGGCTGTGGACTGGATTTTCTTTTGTCTGCTGGTTATGACTGAATACATCTTAGAAACAAAATTATGCCAGTGATCAAGCTGAGACATTGAGCTTTGTATCAATTTCAGAACAAGATGCACTGTGATGAATCCAAAGCATGATGGTTCAGTTGGAGAAGGATTTACAGCCTATAGTGTCAGGTAGAAATTTTTGGGTTGTCACGTCATAGTTCTAGTGTCCTCACATTTCAAAGAAGCCCTCATTCTCTGCTGAAAGAGCAGCCTTTTGCCACAGTTACCATTTTGCTGATCCTCCTAAAATCTGGCAGAAATGGTCAAGTTAGGGGGGTTGTGTGCATACACAGTAGAGCGAAGGAAAAACTGCAACTGTAGCTGCTAAAAATTAATAATTTGTGACAAAAAATGATGTGTCATAGAGGACAAGAAGGTCCAACTGCAGAAGAGGTTGAACTGGTTGGACAGAATAGGAATGACAGGACAGAAGGACTCTCTATAAGGGAGTGAACTTTCCCTTGGGAATGAGGCACATTGCAGAGTTGTCTTGCAACAATCCCATCACTCAGGGACCTAAGTGCTCAAAGGCCAGAGGCTACTTTTGGGCAGCAGAACTGGAATGGAGAATGGATCCAATATTGGGTTGATGTTTTTGGGATTGGTACCACTGAATGTGTACATAAGGAATCAACTCCTGCTCCACCTCTGCATGCACTGGGTAGAACAGCTTATGGTGATAAGACTGTCCAGTGCACTGTACATTAAATCTTCTGTAATTATTCACAAGTCTGTGTTTAACTCAGACCACGGCATGCAATAAAATTTTCCCAACCAAAAACTTGTGAATTAGTGGTTGAAAACACACAAATTCTGCCTGCAAAATTGACTGGAGCACAAACATGATATTTCCACACAAAGAATGGGTTTATCTCACCCACAATTATAATATAGAACTAATTTTAATTTGCTGATGAAATTCTTGGAAGTTTCAGGCACACTACAGATCTCTGCTGGGGTGTTCTGTGAATATTTATCAGATGTTTATTTTAGATTAAATTTTCTCATATAAAATGAAAATATATTGTGTACTCATGTAAACACTTTTTATGCGTCATATTGTATGTACCAGAAGGACAATATTAATTTCTCTTAATATATCTACAGATCTTGCTATCTACACTGAAAACAATGGAGAATCACCCAGCCTGCAATAGTCAGCTGAGTGAGCTATAAAAATAAATTTCCTTATCTAAAAATAATTAGGAATGTAATACTGAAGCCACAGTTCTCACAATAACTAAGAGGTAATTACTAAACTTGTTCTGGTTCTGATAGACAAAGACTTTGAAAGGAAATTAAATCACTGATTTATTGTCCTAGAGTTAGATGCCAAATGAGATAATATAATTACTGATGAATGAATTTTTATCCTCATTTTATACCTAAAATCATGTCTAGCATGCACATTGCAAAAGCAAGGAAAATCAGAAACTTGTGTGTTTATTTCAAGGAATAACAGTGGATATTCATTTTGATCACACAAAGACTGGTACAGTCTTGTAGCTACAGGAAGATGAAAATTTTCCAGCCCCAATGAAATCATCTACATCCACAAGAAAATTTCTGACAAAGCTAAGCATGCATCACCAGGACCCTCTGACAAGAATTAACATCACAACCACAGAAGGAATCCACTGATGGCAGAATGTGCTTTAGGAAGGTACATAACCAGCAGATTCCTATGCTGGTCACATCACATCCCTTTTTATTCTGTCCTGCCTTATATAGCATTAGCTTCTCAATGTTCTTTACCCATACAAAAGCCTCCATCATTTCTTCATTCTTAGTGGCATAGTCACATTCTTCACTGGCAGCTGCTTCTCATATTTTAAAAGACCTTGCAAGTGACAATCTGATTGTCATACGAACACGTACATTTCCTGACATGAGGTTGAGAACAATGTAACTAACGTGTTGCTACTAAATGGAATAAAAAATTGCTATGTTCTTCTACCTCTTCTACAACTAAAAAATTCCATCTTTCACCAAGAAAATTGAGTCTGCGTAATCTTTGATATGCTACAGATGGATTTCTGCTGAGTTAATAATAGCATTAATACTTAAAAGCTAAGACTTACCTTAGTGCTGGCAATTTTTTATTTAAATCAAGGTTATGGAAAATAAGAGTAATGAATCTCATGGAACTGAAAAATTATCCAAAATAGTAGCAGAAAATGAAGAGAAGTCAATTCCATGAAAGCAACAGTAGAACTTTTGAAATTCATGGCTTTATCAGAGCATGGTATGCCACTGCACAATTTCATTCTACGGAAATATTTTGGGAGGACCATGACTGAAATTTTGTTTAATATCTTCTAAATTTTGTCTGGGTCATAGCCACAAAACAATACCTGAGGACCAAAGGAGGAGCAGACCAATTTCTCT